ATGAGGGCTTATTTTCTGGTTAGGGCTTATTTTGGGGGGAAATACGGTACTAATTGCGTCTGGCTGGCTGATGATCTTAACTGGGGCTTATTTTTTTGGGTAGGGCTTCTATTACGAGCATCCTGAAAAATCATGCTAGGGCTTATGTCAGCTTGCGAAGTCGTCTCAAATAAATTGCATTTCAAACAAAGTCTTTGATGAAATCTTTCATTTATTAAGCACGACAATCTGTCCCCGATTATGTCGTAGCCAACACTGACTTCCTGACCCCAAACCTCCCCTTTCCGTTACCCAATTCTCTGCGTCTCATTGGCCATCTGCCAAATCACTCTCCCCATATCTACTACTTCAGCTCCCAGGAATGTCCCCCCTCCCAACCCATCTCCTAGGGCAGTGTTTCCCAAACTTGACCCTTTGAAGATGTATGGACTTCAACTCCCAGAATTCCTCAACCAGGCATACTGGTTGGGGAATTCTGGGAATTGAAATCCATGCATCTTAAAATAGCCAAGTTTGGGAAACACTTTCCTAGGGGATATTATCTTCAGGGAAAATAAGTAGGTGAAAAGTCAAGTGTCCTCTTGCCAGCTGCCCCCTCTTCTCCTCCTTATGTCAGCATTGGAACGAATGTAGTTTGGGGTGCTGACAGCTTATTTTCTGGTTGGGTCTTATTTTTGGGGAAACAGGGTAGTAAAATGCTCTAATGATACGGTTGAGTGCAGGATCCTTTTGCTTTTGAACTAGAAGGTCCTAGCCAGAATGGGTTGAGCTGTGTTTTTCTAAACCTTGGCAAGTTGAAGATACGTGGACTTCAGCTCTCAGAATTCTCCAACCGGCCCTGCTGGCTGAGGAATTCTGGGAGTTGAAGTCCATACATCTTTGACTTGGAGAGACTGAGAAAGTCTGCGATACAGCATTAAGCTAGACCGCCTATTTAAAATCCTGACCAAAACTTTCATTATGTCCTTGATCGCCTTGCCATTCAGCAGAAAGGTTCCCTGACCTCCACTTATGAAGACGAGGGTTATTCCCAAACCCGCAGCCACTCTTCCTTGACCCCCACGTTCTGTTGGATAGCCCCACGCAACCAAGTTATCAGTATGTTGGGTGTTGAATGGCAAACGTAACAATAGGACATGTAAAGAACAGTGAGGGGGCTTTGAGGGCAGTGCAAGGCAGGAATAGCAATAGCACTTAAGACTATATACCACTTCGCAGAGCTTTACAGCCCTCTCTAAGCAGTTTACAGAGGTGGAGTTCTTGCCTCACAATCAGGAGGTTGTGAGTTCGATCCTAGGTAGAGGCAGATGTTAGGGTCTCCTACTTGGGCAGGGGGTTGGACTAGATGACCTGCAAAGGTCCCTTCCAACTCTTGTTAATCTGTTAAATCTGGGTCCCTCGTTTTACCAACCTCGGAAGGATGGGAGGCTGAGTCAACCTTGAGCCCGATCAGGATCGAACGGCTGACTGTGGGGGCGAGTTAGCCTGCAATACTGTATTCTAAACATTGGGAGGGAGGGAGGGAGGGAGGGAAGGAAAGAGGGAAAGAAGGAAGGAAGGAAGAAAAGAGGGAGGAAGGAAGGAAGGAAGGAAGGAAGGAAGGAAGGAAGGAAGGAAGGAAGATAGCCATAGCATTTATATACCACTTCACAGTGCTTTACAGCCCTCTCTAAGCAGTTTACAGAGTCAGCCTTTGGCCCCCAATAATCTCATTTTAGCGACCTCGGAAGGACGGAAGGCTGAGTCAACCTTGAGCCTGGTGAGATTTGGACTACCAAACTGCAGGCAGGCAGCCGGCAGGCAGCAGAAGTAGCCTGCAGTACCGCACTTTAACCCACTGCGCCACCTCGGCTCTAAATAAATATGCACCTAACAGTAGCAAAACACACATGATGCTTGGCTTCCCACGCTTTTGGGCAGACAATGTGTTGTATCCGAGAAAAGCAGAGAACAGAAATTTGGGGTTTGATTTACCGTTAATACCCTGAGCAATTATGGCTGTTCAGTGGGCACTTCGGCTCCAAAGCAAGCAGCTTCTGGAACACTATCTACTCTTTTTTGCGGGAGCGATTTTCCCCTCACCTGCTCAGGTGCCAAAAGTGGAGCTGAAAACGTTATTCAAGGCCGGGAGCTTTAAAAAGCGGACAGCTTTTCTGTTTGTTTGTTTGTTTTTAAATGGTATGAATAGCACTTCGTTTCCATTTTATTTTTATTTTTTAAAGTGCAGCTGGGGCCATGATATGACTGAATTTGTTAGAGAGGGAGGACGTGAAAAGAAGAGAGAAAGAGAAAAAGAAGTAAGAACACTCTCCTGGCGCAAAAAAAACCCCCAACAACCCCGAAAGCCCAGAAGCGGGATTGACTGCACCATTTTTAAAAGATGTGAAAAATTACCTGCGAAGGAGAAACTGTATATAAGTGAGACCTTTGGGGAGGACGGGGGGGGAGAGGGGGTAAAAAATAGCAGGCATATAAATATTGAAAGAGGCTGTCAAAATAAACAGAGAAAGAACATACATTCTCCCACACTGCAGTTATAACACAATTTTCAACAGAAGGAAAAGAAGAATGAGCTGGGAGAGGGAGAGAAAGAGGGAGGGAGGGAGGGAGGAAGAGAAAAAGAAAGGGAGGGAGAGAGGGGGAGAGAGAGAGAGAAAGAGAGAGAGAGAGAAAGAGAAGCAGGAATGTTTTGGAACTACTTTTGAACAGATGATGAGTTACACAGAGATGTGAGTTTCTTTAGATTTTTGTTTCTAAAACAGTCTGTTTTTAACCTGAAAAGCAGAATTACAGAATAACAGAGTCGGAAGGGACCTTGGAGGTCTTCTAGTCCAACCCCCTGCTTAGGCAGGAAACCCTACACCACTTCAGACAAAGGGTTATCCAACCTCTTCTTAAAAACTTCCAGTGTTGGAGCATTCACAACTTCTGGTGGCAAGTTGTTCCACGGGTTAATTGTTCTCACTGTCAGGAAATGTCTCCTTAGTTCTAAGATATCGCTTCAGAGTGCTTTCCAGCCCTCTCTAAGCGGTTTACAGAGCCAGCCTCTTGCCCTCAAACAACCTGGGTCCTCATTTTACCCACCTCGGAAGGATGGGAGGCTGAGTCAACCTTGAGCCTGGTGAGACCCGAACTGCCAAACGGCTGGCAGCCAGCAGAAGTAGGCTGCAATACTCCATTCTAACCACTGCGCCACCATGGCTCTAAATAGGGTTTCCTGCCTAAGCAGGGGGTTGGACTAGATGACCTCCAAGGTCCCTCCCAACTTCATTGTTCTATAATTCTATCCTTCTAATTCTATAGTCCAAACACACACACACACACACACACACCGCTTAAGCAGAAGATCCTATACCGTTTCGGACAAATGGCTGTCCAATCTTTTCTTAAAAACCTCCAGCAATGAAGTACTCAATAATTTCTGACACAAACCACGATTCCCTTAACCAGGTTCGGCTTCCTAGGCAGCCCCGGGGATTCAATAACAGGATGTATCTAGGGTGGTCTATTTTTTTTTTTACAAGAGGCATCTTTGGGCATCATGAGAGACCACCCAAGGGTTTAGCCCCCTACCCACAACCCGGGGAGGAGAAGTGCCATGCGAATGACACAGAGCATCCCGAAGCGAAGAAAACCTTCTTCCCCGTTCTAATAAATGCATGATATGTGACCCGATCAAAGGCATTTTATGAGCCAGCTCGTAAAAGCCCCGTTCCAAATTCCTAAGACTGGAAAGGTTGCGTATGCTGACTCCAAAAACCACAAAGTGCAGCGTGTACTGGGGAAAGAATGGCTTTTGAAATCCATTTAGGAAGGAGTGAGTGTTTTGGGGCCTGGGTCAGCTCTTCTCAAGAGAGTCTCATAATAGCAAGTTGCTCCTCAAAGACGGGTCGAGGTTGGGCGAGAAAAAAAAAAAAGAGAGATAGAGATTGTTGCTCTTAAAAATTGGGTTGATTTTTAATGAACCCAGTCCCTAAAAGTCAGAAAGAGTGGGGTTCCTTTCCAGGGGTGGGCTTCAAAAATTTTAGCAAGGGGCTCTCTGCCTGGTTGCTGGGTGGGCGTGGCCAGGGTGGGCGTGGCCAGGGTGGGCATGGCCTAGTCAGCCTCCTGCATCATTTTTGGCCTCCCCAGGCTCCGGAGGCTTAACTTGAGCCTCCAGGAGGGTGAAAATGGCCTCCCCAGGCTCCAGAGGCCCTCTGAAGGCCGGAAACGGGCCTTCCTGAACTTCCGGTACAGCTGTTTTTCGCTCTCTCCAGGTGTCCACGTGTGCCCTGAACTTACCTGCATCCAAAACAGGCCACCTGGGGACTCCTGGGAGGGGCAGGGTAGGAGGGGCCAGCCAGGAGTGAGATTTGGGGGTTCTCCAAACTGCACAGAATCTTAGCTAGAGGTTCTCCCGAACCCCTGCGAAACCCCCAGGCAGCCCCACCCCTGTTCCTTTCACAAATCACCGAGAGGGGCCATCTTTGGCAGTGTTTCTCAACCTTCTGTCCCTTTAAGAGGGGTGGACTTCAACTCCCAGAATTCCCCAGCCGGCTAATTCTGGGAGTTGAAGTCCACCCCTCTTAAAGCGACAGTAGGTTGAAAAATACTGTTTTTTTTCCAGACTTGGTATTCTGCGAAAGTGTGCACCACAGGCAAACTCTGGATCAGAATCGGAAGGAAAAAATATCAGGCAAAACCAGCTGAGAAAACACACAATTGTCCATGCATGGACAACCTCCGCAAGTCACCTGGAGGGGAAATTCATGGAGGGTATGATTAGCCACGGCTAATTAGCCAGATAATTCAGACAATACTCCGCTCTGGCTCCGGAAAAGACAGCTTGTAATCCATCAAGGAAGCCTTCTGTTGACCTCGCTACATCACACGTCACGGCGTCACAAACACACGGTCACATAAAAAACTCCGGGCTGGCAGATGGGCGGGCATTTACAGCCGAGGGGGTCTCAGCCCAGAGAAATATCACATTCGGGAAGAGAGAAATATTTGCTGCTTACCAGTTTGAAGTCTTGAATGCTACAGATGAAGTAGGGTGTGTTCGGCCGACGGCTCTCAATATACACGCAATCTTTTGGAGGGGACAAAAAGGAAGAGTTTCTCAGCCTTGGGTAAAGTAATAAGAGAATTATCAAACACAACACCGAATGGTAGCGGATTAGAACAAACGAGGCTATAAAAATGTCCCGAAGGTGTTTTTTTCAAAAGGCTTTTTGTTTTTTTTTCCTTGAAGAGGTTTTGCTTCTCATCCAAAGGAGCTTCTTCCTTTCTGAAGAAGCGTCTTGGACGAGAGGAGAACTGAAGAAGCTTCTTGGATGAGAAGCGAAATGTCTTCAAGGAAAAAAAATGCAAAGAAAAGTCCAGTTGCCATTGAAAAAGCACCTTTGGGATAACCGTGACCTGGATGTCTGAGAATCTCCAGACAATGCTATAAAATGTGACACACCACACACTCACTCACTCACTCACTCTCACACAAACACACACACACACACACCAATACAAGACGAGTATTAAGGTAATTTTTTAAGAACCAGAGCAATGCAGAAAAATGTCACGTCTCTTCTCCGAGACTACGTGTTAGCTCGCCCGCTACATTTTCCATATCTAGATGATGGCACCATCTAGAATAGTGTTGGCAAAACTTTTCGGCACCGAGTGCCGAAACGGGGGCATGCCGGAAACCGGAAGAGCAGCTGCCCAGTGTGCATGCGCGCGCCGGGAAAATGGTTTTCCAGTGTGCACATGCACACCGGCCACTTGGTCATTTCTGGCATGCACGTGCGTGCAAAGACGAGCTGGCTGGTGCCCATGCGCGTGCCGGAAACCGGAAGATTATCTTCCTGGCACGTGCATGCACACCGGGCAGCTGCTCTTCCGGTTTCCTGTGCTTCCGCGTGCATGAAGAACAGCTGGCCAGCGCGCCGTAACCCGGAAGAGCAACGGACAATGGCTCACATGCCCAGAGAGATGGCTCTGCGTGCCACTTCCAGCACATGTGCCACAGGTTCCCCATCACAGATCTAGGATTCCTCCCAAATTGGGCATCCCCAATGAGAAGATGACTCTCCCATATCTCCCACCACATCTGCCACAATCTTTTGTGTGGGAAAAAAAAACCCCTCCCAATTTTGCTCTAACGCTCCCAGAGTTTCTATCTTATTTATTTGATTGATTGATCGCATTTACCGTATTTTTCGGAGTATAAGACGCACCGGACTATAAGACGCACCTACCTTTTTTGGTGAGGAAAACAAGAAAAAGAAATCTGCCTCTGCCTCTGCCACCCAGCAATTTTGCCTCGTTGCAGCCAACAGCAAACAGCCTGCTTTACTTTCATTTTCGTTTTCAGCATAGCTTGATTAGCACAAGGAAAACAAAAATCTGCTCCCAGCAATTTACCTCCTTGCAGCAAGCAGCAGAGACCCGCGCAAAACAGCTGAGAGTCGGGAGGCCGATCCAACGGACAATCAACTTGTGCTGATTAGGCTGAAACGGGCTGTTTCTTCTTGCTGCTTGCTGCAAAGAGGTAAATTGCTGGGAGGCAGAGGCCAAAGGATGGGGCCCAGTGGGTGGGCGGGGCTACATTCGGTGTATAAGACGCACCTAAATTTTCACCCCTTTTTAGGGGGGGGGAAAGGTGCATCTTACACTCCGAAAAATATTGTATATGGGGCTCATCTCGTGGTGCTTCTTCCCTCCAGTTACATCTAAGTCTCTCTCCATCCATTCGTGGGGTTTTCTCGGCTGTGCCAAGCTATAGATTTCCTATCTGTCCATATCATTTCCCTGCAGTCTCTTAAGTCTAGGTTTCAAATCTCTCGCTCTCCCGAAAGGTATCCTGGTATTACTACACCCCCAAATTAATGACTCAATCTACTTGGGTGAATTGGGGGGGGGGGCGCGCGGAGTAGCTTAAAGAGGAGTGCTAGCAAACCACGAGTTTTCATCTGAGCTATTTGTGGTTGTTACTTTTTTTTATTTTTTTACAAAAACAGAGGTTTCAACAATCTGTGTACATGAAAATGTTAAGATGAATTCGCAGACAGGCACCTGCAGGCGGTTATATGAAATTCACAGATCCGTCTGAACAAAGCCGGCTCGCTGCATCTGGGAGACGAGCCAAACGGAGCCAATCCGAGGGCTTTTATGACTCTGTTTCATCAGATCCACGAAAAGCTCTCCAGCTGTTGGATCACATACATCTGTGAACTCTTTAAGATGCTTGGGAGCGGGAACAGAGAATAAAAGGAGGGCCTCCGAGAATTGGAAATCAGGAGAACAAATCTTTACAAACAATACCTGCCTGGCAATGCTAACGTTTACTCTACATCCTTTGGGCCTAGAGCTATGTCTAAGAGGTCCATTATTCACATCCTAAATACTTTCTTTAAAAAATAATAATAATAATAATAAAGCCATTCTATCCAGCTGTTATCTATGCAGTAAAGCATCTTTAGTTCCTTCCGTTATTTCAGTTTGCAGAATAACAGAGTTGGAAGGGATCTTGGAGGTCTTCTAATCCAACCCTCTGCTCGAGCGGGAAATCCTATGCCCAGTGATGGCGAACCTGTGGCACGCGTGCCCAAAGTGGCACGTGAAGCCACGTCGCCTGGCACGCGTGGCCTCGCCTGTTTGTTTTCTGGGTTTCTGGCACACATGCGTGTGCAACAATCAGCTGTCCTTCGCGAGCGTGGCAGTGCTGAAAACCGGTGTGCGCGTGTGCACAGGCCAGCTGATTGTTAGGTGCATGTGCGCGCCAGAACCCGGAAGTTCGGCTTTTCCAGAGCATGAAAAGCTTTTCCATTTTCAAGTGCGAGGCAGTGCCGAAAATCGGCCTGCGCATGCACGCCGGCCAGCTGATCATCAGGCGTGCGTGCGCAGTAGATCCCGGAAGTTCGGCTTTTCCAGAGCGCAGCCCCAACGAGTGCCCATGTGATGTTTCCTCGCAACCTTTTCAGCACACGGTGACGAGACTGCTATCATGTCACCCCTACGTCACCCGACTAGACCAAGGGTCGGCAACCTTAAACACTCAAAGAGCCACAAAGGTCCTAACCGGAAGTCCCTTGCTCGATTCTGGAGCCGACCGGAAGTCCGGTTCCCCCACCATAGAGTCTCCTCCTAGCACGGCTTCCTTTTTCCTCTACCTGCCTAACCGAAAGTCCTATGAATTGTGGAGCTGACCGGCGACAGGGAGCCACAGCAGAGGGATGAAAGAGCCACATGCGGCTCCAGAGCCGCGGGTTGCTGATCCCTGGACTAGACAATATCCAATTCCTGCAACCGTTCGTATGTTTTAGCCTCCAGTTCCTTAATCATCTTGGTTTCCGAATACCAAACTTGATGAGTTTCAAATCAGTTGAGTACCAAGGTACCGCAGTACATGTTTTAACCTTTCTATGGTGGTGATGATTTTCTGTGGTCTGTCAAGCAAGCCACAGCCCCAAGCCAATGTTCTGTGGTCTCCTCCGAGGCCCCCCCTCCCTCCGCAATCTGTCTCCTCCTCCTTTGCCAAACCCCATGAATAAATGTCCCGCCGACCCCTGCCATCGACATCCCAGCCTTCTTCTTGCTGAACAAAAAGTTCATTTCCTGGGTTGAGAGGAGTAACCATGGTGATCACAGGGTCACCAAAGCCTGCAAACATCCCGAGCGTCCAATGCCTACATGCGAAAGCCATGGTTTTGCTATCCACACACATGTGCAGTTAATCCACACTCAAAAGTGGAGGGCCTTGGACTGTCATTGTATTGCTTATTGGACATGAGAAGTTGGGGCCCACAAACAAGCCCGATCCTGGTGTGGCTCAAATCAGGAATCCGATTGTCACCCGCCAGATACCCCTCTTGAAAAAAGGACGGGAAAGTTCAAACAGAGATCTATATCTAAGTTGCTACTCTTAATTTCCTTTCCTCAGCTTGCACTGATGCGGTTACTAAGCTGGGTCGCGAAATGTCTGTAAGACCAAGCTGAGAGCACCCAGGACTCCACGGATGAGACAGTTGATCTATCTGACAGCTTTTTCACACATTTCAGCTGAGATGAACCAAGCCGAATCTTGCGCTCTGCTTTCAATGTCCTTTGTTCAACTCCAAGCGCCGGAGTCTTTATCTATTTCTGATCTCCGTCGGGAAACCGGGATATCATTTTTGTTTGGGAAAGGAAGCGGACGGCCTCTTTCAAAGGCCAGGAAGCTCCCGGAGTCAATGCAATCCAATTAGGTGCCCGGCAGGATACCAGGATGCTCTAACAATGCAAGCTTGTATCTTCCAAAGGGATTATGCTATGGGCTCTCCATGGGGGCCTTTTCTTCCCGGGGAGACAAAAAAACCCCTCTCTTGAAAATCATCCCTGGGTGCTCTCTATAAGCCCCCACCCCCACCCCCGCTGTCAACTCACACCTTCCGGATTCCAAGTTGAGCTTAAAAAAAAAAAAAAAAGCTTCTTCGGTTATGCTACTGTCGTCACAACTCTACCAGGGTCTTTTCTCCTTCCTTCAGAAGCCCTGGCTTTTCTAGGGCAGGATTACAATAATAATAATAATGCAACCGAAGAAAGGGGTTTCACATTGGAACGGGGCACAATTACAACTGGCATAACATTTGCTCTTCGCCTGATGTCTCCCATTTGGGCCTTCTTCTTTTTTGTTTGTTTGCAACTCTGAGAATGGAGCTAGCCAATTTTAGAACATTCTGGAAATACCATTATTTTTTGGACTATAAAGACGCACCTAAATTTAGAAGAGGAAAAGAACAACAACAAAAAAGTTTTTGGCCTCCACGCACCCCATTTTCGGGCCTTTTTTCTGCACTTTTCCAAATTTTTTTCGGCCTGTTTTGGGGGCTTTTTTTTGGCCTGTTTTTGAAGCTTTTTTCAGCCCGTTTTCGAGGCTTTTTTCAGCCCGTTTTCGAGGCTTTTTTCAGTCCATTTTCGAGGCTTTTTTCAGCCTGTTTTTGAGGCTTTTTTCAGCCCATTTTGAGGCTTTTTTTGGCCCGTTTTTTTCCTAAAACGAAAAAAGCCTCAAAAATGGAGTGAAAAGAGCCTCAAAAATGGGCCAAAAAAAGCCTC